GCAGCTTCCCTGTCTCTCAAAATTGCAGCTGCCAGGCCGATTTCTTTAGAAATGCAGAAGACAAAACACAGGAAGTGGAATCCCAAGGTATGTAGCTTTACAGAATCAGAATAACTTTACTTCCCGTTGATGCTTCCACTGGCTGCTCCAATGGTCCCTCTGCACTAATTGCCCCTTCAATGGAAAATTGGAAGCTGCCAACAACAAATGAGATTTTTTTTTGCTTTTTAGTCTCTTTGGTTGAACTACTGACAAGAAAGAAAAGGAAAAATGCCAAAAATAGGGTGTATAAGTGCACAAAGTGAAAGCGTTCTTAATTCTTGGATTCATTTTCAGTTTTGCCTCCAGTCACAATTCCCTCTTGGCAGACTGGCAAAGACTTGTCCCAGCAAAAAGTGTCATTTGTTTACCTCATGAGAGTCCTCACTTTCCCTGCTTTGGATTTCAGTTATGAAAGGTAATGTGTGTCTTTGTGTATGCACAGAAAAAATCAAGAGGGTGTTTCCTTGTGGTTATAAGAGGGATGGATGGAAGCAACATATTTTCTGGCTACACACATTTCCCTTCTAAAACCTCCAGAATAGCTACTCACGATGCTAGAGACTGGTTAGATCTCTTACAATGATGTGATGTTGGTGTAAGTCTAGTGGAACTATTCCTGATTTACGTCCACATGGAGGAGAGAGTCTGATCCTAGGAATAGATCCACTCTGAGAACTTGTGGGTGGGGAGGGGGACATGCTAGAGGCCTTAGAAGAGTGCAATGATAATCTTCAAATTTATTTTATTACGGAAATGAATAACAGGCACAATGCGATAGAATGAGTTCTAAGGAATTGGGTTTTTTTGAGAGTTCTGTGAGGATGTAATTTCTAATCTTGGCTGAACTAGTTGTGGTTGTAACTCTCCCAGAAAAAAAGAGAGCATTTGAGCTAGCAAGCAGACAACTGGCGTGCCTGGTAACCATCCACCTAGAAGTAACCTGTACTTAGATCCCAATGGGTGCCTATACACGTGCAGTGAGGCTGCTCCAACATGCTGGAATTACAGCGTGTTGGAGTGGACTTGATTAATTTAGTAGTAAAACAGCAGACGCCAGCATCTCATGTATCAGTGTCCCTGCACTCAAAAATGGTGATGAGGGCGCTTTACCTAAAGCATCCCTGCTGCCATTTTTCAGCGCAGGGATGCTGATACATAAGATACTCCAGGAGTTTTTATTAGAGCAGCTCTTGGAGCTGGTGTAATTAAAGCACCCCCTTCCCACTCCTAGAGCATTTATACACTTCTGTTCCATGTGTATAAATGCCCAATAGTTTGCAAGTGGGAGCTCCTCTCTTACTAAACCCTGAATAAACTTTCTTCTAGTAACTCATTACAGCCTATTGCTGCAGATTATTGCTATCTATTTCTCTTTCCTCATTTTTTTGTATAAGCATATCTACTAGCTCTGTGCAATTACTACAGCAAGTAATAAATCCTGAAATAAATTAAAAATCCTCAACCATGGCACAGGTGGATTATATCCTCATCTCAGAGCCAGACAGCAAAGCCTCCCACAGCTTCTGAAAACCCTCATCACCAAGAAGTAATCTACTTTACTTTAATGTGTTACTCTTTTCTATTCTTCTTCTTCAACAGCCTTACTCCTATCATCTTCAATTAGGTGTCTACCTAACGTCATCAAAATGACAGAAGTTCTCCAAACCACAGATTTCTGTACACTCAAGCACATAGCCTGTATAGATAATCAGCACCAGAATAATGCATTAGAATTAGAAGCACCCTAACCATAGAAAAAGGAACAGTTCCTGGAGTCATGTGAGGATCCAGATTTATATATGTGTATCTAAACCAGGATTGTCCAACTTCTCAGTGGCTGGGAGATATATCTGCATGGGCCACAGATCTGTGGTCTGTACAGCATGTACTGCTGTGCTCTCTTTCCCATGCTTCCCACTCTGTGATCTGCCACACACTCCCTACCATGTGCCTCCCATCATGTGCGCTTTCCTGTGCTTTTCCTCCCATTGGCCTTTGACCTCTATCATACTCACTACTGTCATATGTGCTTCTTAGCATCCTTCGTTGGCTTCTTGCAGCCCTTCCGGCCACTGGGGATTCCTCAGCCCTCCCCCCCTCACCATGTGGGCTTCCAAATATTGCTGCTGCAAACAGTAGTTTTTAAAGGCACAGCAATGTGTCACAATGGCGAGAACTTGGCACATTCACCATCCAGTGTGAGAGAATATGGCCTAAACATTCTGAAGATGATGAAGACTTTCTGAAAATGATCAAACCTCTTTTCAGTACAAAATATGGTGGTGCATGGTTTTATTAGACTGAGATTCTATAATGGTAATAATTCCTTCATTGATAGAAAATGCAATGGTCTCCTCCTCCTAGTCATCTGCATGGCTATCCCGCTCATCTGTATGCATCCCTTCTTGAAGTTCTAAACATTTGTTCTTCTGTTGCATGTAAAGCGCCTGTGCCATCTGAACTCCTTCATCATTGTATATCTCTTTTCCACCAACTCCTTTGAGGCTTCAGATTAGCTCAGAGCTCTTTTGCTCAAAGATCTTGGAATATATCTTTAGGTCCTTCTTAACTTGCTTGATCTGATCCTGGCTGAGCAGGATAGGAGGTCAGGGTCTCCAAAGCAGCTGGCAAAAGTCATCCTTATTGTTCTTCTGGAGGTTCATAGACATTGTCACACTGGCCACCTGGTGACTCCACCAAGACATAGAAGTAACAATGTATTGACCTGTTGGATCCCATTCGACATCTGAGGCTGTCTAGTGTTCAGCTATATTCATCATGGTGCAATTAGATGTATTAACCAAAATGCAAAGGCACCATTCATGTTTCTGAGGTCAGCCAACACTACAAATTGCCTGTGGGGACTCCAGAATATCATTTTTGTCTGCTACTTGTCAAACATTTTGATGAGCTCTGTCTTCCCATTGTTTTTGACATGGTAAAAGGAGGAAACATTTGCAGAGACTTTCCAGGCAACTCAGCAAACTTGCTCCCATTTGGTTCCCAGGCAAAGGCTGTGATAGGTTCTTTCATTTCTGTCACATCCACTGGGACCTGTTTCTCTCTCATTTGGAAGATCTCAAAATTGGTCATTACATCCTGTGTACCTTTGGGAGTCTTGCCTACCTACACACACAGGTAACCTCCATTCTTCTGCCAATGACAATTGTTACCACACTGAACAGGCTCCCTGCACAAATTTCATCCCTGGAGGGGAGCTGCATCAGTGTCACTCTTGCTGGGATGTCCTTGTCTTCAGGCACCCAACATGCAATTACACTACCACCTGGAGGCCATGACGAATCTTTTATCCCAGTGATTTTTAAACCTTTCTTGTCCAGTAGGCCGATAGAAGGTGTTGCATAGATAATGAGGGAACAGTCAGGGAACAAACCATATCATGGGATGAAAGTGACTAATTATATAGCTAAAATAACCGCTACTTGTTACAAAGAGTTTATGAACAACCCTTGGGTCCATCTTAATCTCACTTTCCTGAGCAATTATGAATGATACATTTGCTAAAACTCTCCACATCATTTGCAAACAGGAAAGAAGGAACAAATCCTTTAGTCAGCTCCTATCCACTGGTAGTCAGTGATTGGTAAGCTGCCAGAAGGTAGTGGGATTGTTAAGCATGTATCTTTGTCCTTGTGACAGACAACGAATATCTTTTGTGTAACATTCAGTGGTGTAAAACAGACTGTTAAGTGCTAGTTATGGGTTTTGAACGGAATCGGGATTTTATTTGGATAAGATAGGACAAAAATTTTTTGATAGTCACAAAAAATTAGGTTAAATTCTTTCACGCTCAGGCAGGCAGCAAAACCCTGTAAACTTCTTCAAAGTAGAAGGAAACAATATTGTATGAGTTGGTAGCAGTTGGACAACTTAGGGAGAGACTTCCCTAAAGCTGCAGTTATTATCAACTGTTTTTCTGCTGATCTGTTTTGAGAAATGGTAGTATATTTTAAGCTGGGAACAGCATTTTTCTAATGTACCCTGACCTCAAAACAAGATGGCAAACAGAAGGGTTTTTTTTGTTTGTTTGTTTGTTTTCCCTCCAGCTTGTTCCTGCCAGAGCAAACTATTCAATTTTGTACTTTGCGGCCAGGCAGGAACGGTGCATCACGATTCTCTCAGCTGAAGGAAAGGAATACTGTGGGTATGGGGACTGAGAGAGCTTTTGTTGCTGGAAGGAATTTTTCACTGGCTTTTTACTCTGTGTGTGAAAAATAAAGTGCTCTGGAAATGTACAGATTTCTTGCTGCCAAAAGAGGTTGTTTTCACAGCTCCTCTTTTGCCAATTTCAAGCTGGTTAAGGGAAAAAATAAGTTTTCACCTACCCTTGTTAAACTTGCTTTCATGACAGCCCCTGGAAAGTACAGTTGAATCAGTAAAAATGCCAAAATAACACATTTCCCTTTAGAACAGAAGAATCAAATATGAATAGCTGTGCTGCGGTGAAGAGGGAGTTGTCAGTGATAGGAACAAAGGCAATGTAAAACCATTATTAACCAACTGTATTAATTGTGCTAGAAGGATGATCTGACATTTTAAGAATCTCTATCAGCTGCTTTGGATTTAGTTTTAATTTTTTCTTCCAACAGTTTTAATCCAAAATAATTAAGGCCTTTCAAAACACAGACTGTGTAACTCAATCTAAATGCACTTATATCTATATATAAAAACAGATAGAGAAAGGATTCTAGAAGAACATTCTTGCCCATAATACTGGCTTGACATAGTGGTATTTTCATTACTGTATTGGTACATGGCAATGCTCTGTCTTTTGCACCTAGATGACTGATATACGTGCTGTGGTATAAAAATTGATGATTAAATCATTAATCCAAGCTAAATGTTCTATTTAACATGCATGGGGGAAAAGATTTTTAGGCAAAGCCACATCTCTGAAGCAGAGTATTTAGAAAGTGAATGGAAATACTATAACTTACTTTTCTGACATCTTCTTCCTATATAACCTTTAGTACAGGAACACACATTGTTTCGTATACAGTATCCACCATTCTTACAAGGAGGGTTGCAAAGAGCTAATGGAGTGAAAGAAAAATACAATGGGTCAGTTTAGTATTACAATCTCTCTCTTTTTTAAAAACGTGGATTGAAATCTAGTATTGTAAATCTGACAGTGTCCTTTAAAATGTAGGGTAATTCACTAAGACTAGTATCCTTTGTTCTGGCACCCTGATGAAAGGGTGGTATTTCTTTTTTAATAAGGAGGAATGAGGTGAAGACCCTTCCTGTAACATGATGCTACATACCTCTCATTCCACACTGGACTAGAGTAGAACCAAGAGCAATTCCAATACTCTCCAGACTGAATTCATTGGAATAATTCAGGGGCTAATTGAGATTTCAGAAGCTGAACATTTAGGCTGTGTACACACATTTAAATGGCTTGGAGAAATTCTCCTGGATTTCTTTTCTTAGTAGAAAAACTGACCCAGATAATCTTGAATAGGCATTTGAATGCTGATCCTCTGAAGAGCAGAAAGTTTGCAGTGCTAATCTATGCAAGGGGAAGGGTGTGGGGGGACCCTGTGCACACATCTCAGCATGGTCTGAAGGCTCTCTCAGGCTGCCTGGAGACAGATGGTATCAGTGCACAGGGCAGCCCTGACTGGCTGACCCAGGCTCCTCAGGGTCAGCTGGTGTCTCCTTGTAGCATAACGTGGGGACTTTAAAGGGGGTATATTCTGCTCCTTACTTGACTGAGAATATAATCCAGCCTAAGTGACACACTGTTCCAGGGAGGTGGTGGGGAAGAAAGCACCTCAAAATACTGGAGTACTGTGCTGTGGGTTCTTTCAGAGGGAAGCATGTACAGACATTTGCTTTTCAAAAAGAAACTCTCCCAGGAGTAATTTAAACCTGGTTGTCTCTTGATTATTTTTCTCCCAGAGTGGGCATTTTTTTTCCGAGAGAAAAATGCTGAATGCTAATACACTCCTGGTTTCTTCTGAGACAGCAGCAATTCTCTCAGGAGAAACTGAATGTCTAATACATGGCATAGATTTTTTCTACAAATTAAAATACTTACAAGTGAAAGCATACCTCTTACACTCTTACTAAGCACCCTGGTGCTTAGGGGTGTCTATCTGTACACATCCTCTGGGGTGGAGGGGTGGGGGTTTTAATTAGAGTGTCTCTGAGAGCCACTGTAATTAAAGCGCCTGCAGCCTCATGTGTATTCAGTGTCCCATACTTCAAAATGCATTCATTCAATGAACTTTAGTTAAAGCACCCCCACTGCCATTTTGAAAAGTGGGGATGCTGAATACATGTAACACAGAGGCTGCTGGGGTGTGCTAATAAATCAAGTCTGCTTTGATGCATACTAATTGTCACAACCCAAAGTTGTGATTTTTGTTTTTGTGTGTGCTTTGGCACCGCTGAATTATTTTCCTGCTAAATTGCAGCTTCTTTGCATGGTGGAGTTTTCTGCTGTAAAGGAGAACCCCGCTGCAAGGGAGAATTTCCCGCCAATTTGTAGCTTTCTTTGCATGGTGCATTTCTTTTGCATCTAAGAAATGCTCAGTGCAAAGAGTTCCCGCCATTTGTATTTTAATTCGAGCCCCATTATTGGCTTGTGTTAAATTATGCACACGTGGCGGCTAGTGATTGGCTTGCTAGCCGTATAAAAAGCTTGAGTGGTTTCCGCCCAAGTTGGAGAACTCCGAGGAGAACCCCCAC